GAAATATACAATGTATGTTGTTTACAACAAAAAATTAATAAATTAGAGTAAAGCTTATTATAATAAAAAAAAAAAAATAAAATAAAATAAAATAAGCTAATCTATTCCAATCTGAAGCTTGAGGGTCTATTCTATGAGTGGTGTTTTTTTAAACTTAAATGGATTGAAAAGGCAAAAGATTATTAACCACAGGAGATAACAATCTAGAAAAAATTATTAAGACCAAGAGTATCTGGTGAGAATTGTCAAAATCAAATTAGAATTCAAGCAAGGATGCCAGTTTTACAAGTGGTAAAAACAGTAGTGCTGTTCTATGCTAGTGGCACATCTCAGAGATTATTAATGTCAAATAATTGAAATAACTGTGATTAACCTTTATAATAATATTTCATACTATACTGCTCTTTACAATGTGGACTTAATAGGTTAAATGAATTTTAAACTAGTGATAGGATTTTTCTTTTTGCAAAAAGTTTCATCTGACATGTGGGCACATTTCTAGATATTTAAATGAATACATAGTTGGATTATAAATTAGTATAGTTAGTTTTATAACAATATTAATACTAGGCAGTATTAATCTGCAAATTAGTTATAGAGACATAATAAATATCTATTGTATTAACCTATTTCTGATTAATTTGTAGAAATATTTGATGTTTGTCTGGATATATAAATGTATCAATAAAAATTACATGCCTTGTGCACATTCCACTTTAAAAAAAATAAAAAAAAATAAAAATCTAAATCTATAGATATATAATGCAGTAATTAGTATTCTATAGATTAGATCACAAGATATCAATTTAACTTTAAATAAAAATAGTAAATAGAACTATATAGTATCTGGTACTAAGACTTGCTAAGTATTATTTTTTATATAAAGCCATTTCATATGCTAATATAACAAGTGTCGAGATTGTAATTTAACTATAAAAATAATGTAATTTAACAATTATCCAGTTAGTATTATTATAATTATTATTAGATTTGATAATTTATTTAGTTATTTATTAGATTTTATTTTATTTTTCTATAGTTTATGAAGCTATAAAAGAAATTAAAAGATTTGGTACTAATTAAAATTAACTTTATCAGAGTAGATTACTAAAAAACAATAATGGTCTCTTTAAGAACAAATATATGGCAGCTTATCAATATCTAGAAGTTGTACTCTGCTTGATATTCATATCTTTAGATTTGACAATTTATATTAATCAAAAGTCTATAAAGTATCTATTAAAAGAATTAGAAATTGTATCTTACTTGATTATGAATTCTCAGATTTGATAATTTAAGCCAATTATAGAAATTTCTTTTGAAATATTTATTAAGAAGTATATATTTATAATAGAATCCTAAAAATATAACTGGTATTGAGCTATAAAGTTGAAACTAAAAAAAAAGCCTGCTCAAGTTATTATAGAAAGCTAACAAAAATATGAATTATTAAATTTGATATATACACTAGTTGAAATTCAATTATTTGGCAGTATGCCACTTATCAATCATTTGGTATATAATAAATAATTTGTTAAACATTTGTCAAACATTTGTTAAATATTCATTAACAATTTGACAATCATTGTTAAATTGGAATATACTAAATTATTGTTAAATATTTGACAAATACTTGACAAATTATTTATCATATATTGAATAATTGATAAGTGATATACTGTCAAATAATTGGATTTCAACTAGTAATAAGCTCATTCACAAAATATAAGTTAGTATATTAGATAAAAAAAATAGATAGTATTAGTTAATTGATTATTTATATAATGTTGTAATTATAAATAATTAATAAAAATTATGTATGTAGCATACTTAGCCCTTTAAAAAAAAATAAGGTAAAAATCTATATTAATATAATTAAGAATATAAAAGATAAGTTATTTAATAAAGTTTTTAAAATATATTATAAAAATTTTTTAAAAAACAAATAATTTATGATATATTACAAAATAAAAATAATAAAAAATAATAATAATAATTCAATGCAAAAATTTGTTAAATAAAAATTATAATAATAATAATATAATAATAATAATTATTATTTTATTAAGTATAAAAAATTATTTAATAATTAAATTGACTTAAAATATAGTTAAATTTTTTTAAAAAACATAAATTGATATTAAATATAAAGTTTTTAAAGGTTTTAAAGATTTTTTAAAAATAATTTTTTATAAAAAAAAATAAAACAATTTTAATAACATTTATTAAATATAATAATAAGTCTTATAATTTTTTTATAAGCTTAAAAATTTTTTTTATACTAACTACATTATATATGCAGATTTTATTAATTACTTGAAAATTATATCTATATATAAACAGTCTATTAACTATTATTAATATTAATTGATATAGCATAGTTTTAATTAGATATATTAACTTATATTATATAGGTGAATCCATATACTAATATTTTTGAAGGTGGTAGAAATTTTGCCATCAGTTTTAAACTATCTAAACTTTTTAAAAACAGGATAAAAGTATATCAATTAAGTATCTCTAGATGTTTTATCATATTATATTCTTTGTTTTCATGTAGTCATAATATTTAGAAAAATTTATTTGAATTATACTTTTTAGTAAATGCTTCAAGAGTTGTTTTTATAGTTGATACATATTATCAAATCTGGATATTCAAATAGGATATAACTTTTAAATCTTCTAGTATATACTTTATAGGTTCTCAGTAGTTTAGGTTATCAAATTTAAAGATACAAATATCAAGTAGAGTATAACTTCTGTAGAACTTGCCTGAATATTATTTATATATAAGTGTTTTTAGTCAGTGTTCTTTTCAAAATAATCTAATTATAATTGGTATATCAATTAATAGTAGAATTAATGAATGTAATTTTCAGTTAAATTAGAAGTTTTTCTTCATATAACTTTTTTTTTCAGTCTGTTTTAGTCTGCAGTTATTGGAAAGATCAAAGATCCCATCTTTATATAACCTAATTAGATAAGGACTAGATCAATATTTTTAAGGTCAAGTATGTAGAAAAACTGGAAAACCTGCATACAAGCACTATAAATATATTTGCTTCCTGTGAATATTGAACTAAGGATATGCATTTGGAGATCTGAGAGCACTAACCACTATGCTATTAATCTATAGGTCTAATTTATTCATTTTTATATTTAATTTTTTTAAAAATTTTTTATAGTAAAAATTCAATTTCCATTTATATTTTATATATAAATTTATATATATAATTTATAATATATTTTTTGAAAATTTTTTTTGACTTTAAATCAATATTTTCAAATAAAATTATTAATTGAATTATAAAATATATATATTTACAATTTTATCATAATTAAATTATTATTTATTGAATTATAATAAAAAATATCAGTGCAATTATTTTTGTCACACACTGTATATAATTTATATATGTAATTTAAAAATAACAATATAAAAATAAAAGTCAAATAGTTTATATAATTTATAAGTACAGTATTTATATTTTATGTCTATTTTGTCAAAAATTTTACATTATTAATTTAGACTGGAACATTCTATAGTCTTGACTACAGCATTGTAGGTTCTTGCCGTCGCATAATTATCTTAATTTAAACAATAAATTTCAATTTCATTGATTAAAAGAAACAGTATACGGCAAATCAGCAGAGTTTTTTTTTTTCAAAATAAAAGACACAGGGTGTTCTCCGTATGGCATTTTTACGGCATACGTGCATTGTTTTCGAGTGAAGTTCCATACTGTAATAAGAAATATACAGTATTTCCGGATTATTTTGCCGGCATATAGAATCACAATTTCGCACTACATGACGATCCGTAATAGAGTCTCATGTGCAATAAATAACTTACGTTTTTTTTTTTTGCATTTATGCAGAAGTTCCCGTGATCCGGAAATTTCACTCGAAAACAATGCAAATGCGGCTGCACGTATACGTATACTGTACAAATATGTATCCTCCATGTCTTTTATTTTGGGAAAAAAATCTCTGCTCGGCAAATCCCTTCATTATTGAAATGCATATATACTTCATTTCTAATGAATAAAAATCACTTTTTGCAAGTCTCCAAAATCCGAAGGGAACTTTGTTGGGAATCGTACCTGTAAACTTAAAAAATAAGGAGACATATCATCGTGAAAGAAGCTTGAAAATCAATGATTATAGTATATGGAGTGATAATTTCCACAGGTGACACTATTAATGATTACAGTAACAATGTAATTAACAATGAGTGTCACCTAATACTCCATTTTAACCCGATGATGTAATCATTACGTTTGTTTTCATGATAATATATAAAAGGAGTACTCGCCCATCATTTTTATTATCAAAATTATTTTGATAATATTCACCCCAAAAAAACTTTTTCAAAATGCCTAAAGTTGATAGTACCGGTACAGCTACCCGTGTAGTTTATAAGAACAAGGAAAAATCATCAGACGAATTTGTAATCTTTGCCAATCCCAACATGGTAGGATATACATGTTTATATTTTGAGTAATCTTTAATTTAGTTATTTCTCATAAATTATTATTATTTTTCCCGTTAATAATAAGATTGAAAAATGGCGCGAAGGTAATATATATATATATAATGATCTTTTTTTTTACAAAGTGAACTCTGAAAGATTATACAAAATTATCTTGGTCATTAGAGTTTATCTAAATATATATGTATACTCTTTTTTATAAAAACAGATAAAACGATTCCAATTATTGACGTCGTTCAAAGTAAGCACTTTTCATTTCGCTTGGCAATTTCCACTCTTAATTCTTATTATTATTTTATTACTGCATCTTTAGGTTTTCAAATTTTTGAATATCACGGAGGTCACACAGGTCATGCATCCCAACCAACTGCGTCACAGCTAAGGTAGATTAAAGAAACTTACTTGTTATTTTAAACATTTAAGCGAATGACTAATGATTAAATGTTTAAATTTAAAACAGTACAATGTTCGATACAACAGATAAAACGGAAATCATCAAAGAAATTCTTGAAAACGGTGTAATCAAATCCTTCACTGGTGACGGTCTTCAATCACGGGGTGCTTTTGGTAAGGGTGGGAACAAAGAAGGTCCTGCTTCGGATTAAGTTCGCAAATCTTCTCGAATATGAGACAATAATGTGTTCTAGAAAACCTTTAGTCAGCTTTCAAACATATATTTATGACTAATGAAATGTATAATAAAACATTAAAATCGTTCTTGTGATTATAAATATACTGTACGTATATGCCTATCGTATCTTATATATTGCATAGCCACCAAGATTGATGAAATATACGATTTACCAAGGCTATGCATTGAAAATTTGTGGAGGCTTTGGTTGTTTGAAATTTCTGATCGGATTCGTGGCTTGAATTTAGGACGTTAATAAATCTTGTCCAAGTTCCATTTGAGTCAAGAAAAAACCCAAATTTTTATTTATATTTATAAATAAATAAAATCATAAAAATTAAAAAATTAATTTAAAATAGGATATTAATTTAATAAAAATAATGATATTACAATTGAATTATTTTATTAAAATATTTTTATTTTTATTTAATAAAAATTTAAAAAGCAAAATTTTAATTTAAATTAAAAAAAAACTTTTAAGAGTTTAATTGTTTTTATTATTTAAAACAATCAATCGAATTTTTAATACAAGAAAATATTAAAATAAATGTTATAAGTAAATAATTAAAGAGAAACCCTAATTAAAAGATTTGTTAAAATAAATTTTAAGTTTTTAAATATATGTTTTCCTTAATGTAAATAAATAAATAGAAATAATAGAAATATATAATATAATATTATATAAATTTAAATTTAAAGCATTTACTAGAAAGTACTTATAGAACTATAAGTTGTATAAGCTAAAGATAAGATATAATAAGATAATATACTAAGTATTAATATGTGTTCCTATTAAAAGTAGCTTTTTAACACAATTAAATTATTCAGGTTAGACGGTTTAAGCCAACAGTGATATTTTTATTCCTTGATAATTTCATCTAATGTATTGGCATATTCATTTAATATAAGTTAATATAGTTGGATTAAAAGTTTTTAGGTATAAATTAAATCTTTAAAAAGAAAATTACAATACATAAAATTATAATTGAATAATTAATAAAAATAATATTTTGTAATATTTTTTATTTTTTTAAAAAAAAACCTTTATTTATTTACTATTGATTTTTTGAAAATTTTTTCTTATAGTAATTTTTTTTAAAAAGTTTTTTTTTTTTATATTTTTTAAAAAAATATTTTAAACTTAAAAATATAAAAAGTTTAAGATTTATTGTTATATTGAAATAGAACCTTTAATCAAATAGTAAACAGATTCTTAAAGTTTTTTTTTTTAATGCAAGTAAGCTTTACTCTAATTTATTAATTTTGTTGCGAATAACATACATTACATATATTTCTATTCACACTTAAAATCATTACAATTAGAATTCACCTACAAGTATACTATCCAGATGCAGCCTACCTATAGATTCTTAAAGTTTTATACAAATTTATTAAACTATTTATATAATATATAATCTATTTTATTATTAAATATTTTATATATCTTACAAGTTAGTTAATTTCATTATATAGCAAAAAATCAAATTAAACTTATTTTTTTTTTTTTATATAGAACAATATTAGATATAGACTTTTATTGAAGGTTTTTAATTTTTACAATATATCAAATATTCTTTATTGTTATTATAATAGTTAAATGTTAATCTATCTATTTTATATTTGGCAAATGCTATTTATTTTTAAGATTTATTATATTATTTTTAAAGGGGCTTATCTAAAAAGTAAAAGTTCTATCACTAGTTTAAACTATCTAATTTACTGGTTCAAATTTATATAAAGACAATAAAAATACTATTAACTGTCTATATAAGTTATTTATTACATCTAGGATTCCGATCGATACCATTTGATATGATATTTCATAAAACTGATACCGAAAATATTTTTTGGTATCAGTACCAGTAATTACTGAAAATTTTTAGTACAAAACTTTGCAATAGCAATACTGAACCAAAAGTACTGAAATTAAATAAGTTTATATTTTTAACATAGCATATATTTATTATATACAAAAATAATATAACTCAAATATGTATATAAAGTTTCCAGTTTCACCTAGGAATTAATAGATTTGAACTTTTATTTTA